CATCGGCTTCTTCTTCTACTCGAAGTGAAAACTGGTGTAATTTATTCTGATGAACAATAGTATGAAAATGATTATACCAAAATATGACATTATTTTATGAACAAAAACATACATTGCACTCTACAACTCAATCAACATCTCGAATTTTAATCAGCCTATCTAGTTTTAAATGTTTTTCTCACTTGCCTGGGTCACAGTTAACTATTGTACTTCTATATTATTCGAAAAAAAACAGGACTAGCAACTCGGTGGTCAGCACTGACATTATTATCGTAACATAGAATTAACAGAACGTGCCCGGAGCAAACCTCGAAATTCCTACGCGAGGCACAACTTCAACTCTCCTTCATGACAATGCGTTCTGCGACATGCCGCGAAGTCGCTCAGGGAACCCTATTAGCTCGAGTACTATACAAACGGGTGTTTTAACACTTCGATGAACGCGAACCGCAGGGCTATTCACGGAAGGCTATCGTCTAGGGGGGAGCTGGGCACTTTTGTTAACTTCCGAAGGTGAAGAGTTTCGTCCAAACACCGGACTCTATTGTCCGCCTTTTCAATGAAAGTGATCCACAAAGCGGCCGTTGCCGACTGTCGGGCGTTCGGTTGAGGATTCGAGATCCTCGCCGCCAGGTTTTCAACGAACGAGAACAAGAAACTCGCAGGGCACGTGTGTTCACCTTTATACAACTTTGGAACGAAATAAATTATTCGAAAACAGCCACAATAAGACTGTTGAAGCTGAATACTGAATATACTATCGGTCAATGTCATCAACTTATTGCATTTATGCGCGAAAGAAACATTCACTTATTGACAGGAAATATTTATACAGTAAATATATTTTGTGAACAGAAAATACTACACGTCAATATCTCATAAACCTTTAATTGATTTGGAAGAGCTCGATTAATTTTTTTCCACCGATGTCAAGCTATGCTGTTATCTATATCTGTAGTTGTTTTGATATGTACTGTGCGTTACAACAAATTCTGAAAGAGTCTAAGGTTGAACGATGCAATATCATTACGCAATAAAATTATTTGCTTCCAAAACTGCTACTTTTACAAATGCGGAAAATACTTTTCTCTATGAATATTTTTACACAAAATGATAACGTATTATAAATTGCTCGCGAGGTTATCTGTTTTCCGTATCACATATAATACGAATTATATTATTACAGAATCATGATTCTAGAGATACAACCACAGCAAACACAGTACGCATCACAATCGTACTGTAAGTGTAAAGCAGTGTCATTTCCGCAACACTTATTATCGTAGATGTTCATGTTTAAGAAACTAGTGTAAAAATACGTTTCGAACTTCCACAAGAATGCTTTAATAGCAACAAGACAATGGATAACAACGACATTTTCTAGAAAAGTCTTTTCATTAAAAGATAGTGCAAAACAGAAAGATGTATGCACGAATTTTTTATTGGTCCGCACAGATCCAAATACATCACATCGATAACTAAAATGGCAGTCTTCTACAAACGCAACATTTCGGTGAGTGAAACATTTTGGTGATCGGGCATTGTGGTTCGTATAAAAACAATATCATAGAACCGCATACTTACATTAACAAGTGTGCTTTCATTTCACAATTAGAATAAAATGTAAGCTTTCCCACCACATTTAAAAAACTACTCTTCACTAAACTCTGACCATACTATCATGGCTTCGACGGTAGAACAGCATGTCGAGCTCTTGTACCCAAGAACAAGCGAGTTGTGGATTTTTAAGAGCGAAAAATTCCTTCGTAAGTTTTTCTTCGGAGGGGAAGTAAAGTCGACTGCTTCATGTATATTTACTGCTTGTTAAATATAACCAAGCCCAAAAGAAGCCTCTAAGCTAAATTTAAATGGACTCTGTCATTCCAAATGATACGTTCTTTCTCCGCTATATGGTGAAATGAGCAGAACGAAATTTGTGCGGTCAGACGGAAGATCAGGCCTAATGGTTCTGAATCTCCCCGTGTAAAATAAGGCATCACTGAGCTGAATTAAACCATGTAACCTTGGCTACACTTCTGATTCGTGCCGTGTCCGTATTGGAGGCCGATTGAAGGAGTAGGAGCGAGGATCGCGGGACGGAACTAGCAAGGCTTCGACGTCCAAAATGCCTCAATTGGATGGAACGGAACACTCTCAGTGAACTGCCCTAAACACCCTTCTCACAGGCCCCGTACGCGCCTCGTGGTCTGCCGGTGAGCGCAGGCCGCTGCGCCAGGCAATGCGCAAATACGCTCCTTTCAATCGGCCTTCTCTTGCAATGCGAATCGCAGCTGCGCCGCGCCTCCGCTGTGTCCCTGAGTGCAGAGAACAGCGCAACCTGAATGGCAGCAGTCGGTTAATATCCTCACACCGCCAAAGAGCCTTCAGGAGGTAAGGAGAAATGACAACCATGAAAAGTTTCGAGTGTATTTAAACTAGTTTGGGGTAGCTCGGTGGTTCTCCATTCACCCGCCATACCGCAGAGTTCAACTGGATAAAAAATTGCGGAACCGGCAGCGCGAATAGGTGCGCTAGTTCTCTTTGCCGCCGCACTCAACAGCTCCAACGTCCGCACCGCCTCCCCACCATCCTTGAACGCAATCTGCGCGGTGCTGCGCGGCCGCGGCGAAAAACGTTCCGCAGGACGGAACGGGACAGCACGCGACGAACAGGTATAAACCGTTGACGGGATCAGACCCTCCGCCCCGCCGACTCACAGTTCCGCGCGTGTCGGCTGGGAGGCACGGGCCAAGTGAACCGCTCACACGAGGGCAATCACGAGCATTTATAGACAAAGCCCCGACGCTTAAAATGTCTCGAAATAAATCCATTGGGTTCTGATTTTCTTTAACATACGGATTTGTGGTTGATCGTAAGCTTATGTTTAAAAAAATGCTAACGATGCTTAGCACAATGACAATTCTCTTCTTACAAAGTAAGAGCGAGAGAAGAAGTAAAAATGGGGACTAATACTGGATTTAAAACGTTTTTTTTAATATTCCTCTGCCTGCAGCCTGTCAAAAAAACAACAAAAAATAAGCACGTAATTCTCAATAATAGCGGCCGGAGACCAGAGAACCAATGCACGTAAGCTCCCATTACATGCCATCGAGGTACAGTAAAAACTTTGACCAAACAAGAAACAAAAAACAACACACCGCAGCACCTTTTGGCTCTTTCCCGATACCAAAACCCACCCCTCTCTCCCAACTCCTCTGAATGCAAATTTTATTATCATTACCGCCACCCCACCCTCCAGAAACCATTCGAAATTTCCACCGCGACCGGCACACAGCCCCACACGAGCGGGCCACGGAAGGGCCATCAGCAGCGCCGGCGACACCCGGCGCCACGAAAATTACGCCTTGCGCCTCTCTCATTAAAGTCTCGGGCAGCCGCACCGCCCCCGGGAAGGGGGGGGGAGAGGGGGGATAAATAATTCAGCGGCGTATTAAACCCCGGACCCGAGTGCATTTTTGGAATACGAGCGCTGCCAGAAGGGAACGCGGGGCTTTTTGTTCATCGGGGATATTACTCCCCGCCAATACACTCGATGCTCTGAAAGATAATGACGATAAAGAAAAAGTGTGGAAGCATTATATTCAATCCTTTCTACGTCCGGAGCTGCAGAGTCATCGGGAGGGCGGGAGTCTCCGGAGAACTGGCCCTCTGCGTCGGTCGCTTTTGTTCGTCTTAATTGAGCCTAATATCTGTGCGCGTCTCCGACGTCTGAGGAGGCGGACAGCACCCGCCTCTGCCCCCGCGTGGCCACTGGCGGAGTTACAGCTTTGCTCGAGGCGGTCTTCAAGAGCGCCGCCGTTAAATAAAGAGAAAAGAGAACAATACTATCCTTAAATTACATAATCCATTAGCGGAGGGGGGGTGCGTCTCATGGTGTAGTGGTCAACACGCTGACTTTCTATCTCTGGATACCGGGGTGGAAATCCTAGTCGATTATTTTGAGGTGAACGAAGTGAACTGGGGGTTGCCCCGTTTCTGCAATTACGTCACTACCAATGATCCATCCTAATCATCCCCAGATCAATAACTTCACTCACCGTTTCAGGTTAGTATCAGGCTGTGCGATCACAATAAACACTAAACACGTGACACCAATAACAAGAACGAGGAGAATGTGTATTCTAGAGGAGCGAACAGACCACTAGCTTTATATCGACTCCCAGAGTTCAAATTATTCCATTCCGAATGGTATTTGTGGTGTTCGAGTATGTAGCGTGTTCGAGGCAGAACTTTTTGGGGGGGTTGTTTTGCACTGATATCTTTGAATGAAAAATGCCCAAAGGTGAAAAAAAGCAAATAATTAAAACCAGCACCTATTGTTTCCTTATGTATGCTTAAATGTTGATTACTTCTTTACTAAAGACATTTTGAAAAAGTTATAAAATGTATTGGAAACGAATATTTATTTCTCTTACATTTTGCTTTGGTCAAACGAAATCAAACCCACAGAGTGGAGAATAGACTGTTATTAAGCCTTCATTCCGGTTTCAAGTGTTTGATAGAATATTTCGAAAACACAAAACACGAAAATAATTATGTGCCAACACTAAAAAATTGTCGCTTAATTGAAGGATGTCTTCCCTGTAATGCTCATTGAGATTTCTGAAAGTTCTGAATTGTAAATACACCTACATTACTTTCGAAGCAAATGAAACAAGTCCATCATCTACCAGGAAGGCAGTTATAAAAGAAATGAATGTCTATGATAAAACGTACAACTTGAAAGATACTTGCAAAAATTCCAATATTTTTTCAACCTCTTTTACTTCCTCTTTTTTTCCTTTTCAAAATACTACTGTACCGACATCAGGGCGTCGACACAGACGCCCTTGGGAACACCTGTTATAGAACGAAATCACACCAGCGAACACAAAAATATGTTTGGATGCCCACGCACTACGGCAGCTCGCGTATAAAAGCAGATCTAAAGCCGAGTCGAATAAACGTTGAGAAAACTCCTCCAAATTGTTTCTCCTTCGTTAACCACTCGCCTGCGGTGCCGAGCCCGCATCCGGCCAGGCGGAGGGCCTCAGCGTCGACTCCCGAAGCCGTCGTAAATCTTCATCAGGCTGTGGTGGTGGTGGTGGTGGTAGAGCGGTGAGGGGGGTCAGTGAACGGCGGTGGATGGCAGCAGCTGGTCGCCGCCGCCGCCGCGCCAAGAAGCGCAGCGATGCTGCTTTGTCGGCGACCGCCAGCGTGTCCGGCGGCCAAGAACAAATGAACAGCTTATTTCCAAAGTGACGTATCCACTATGAAACACAAGTTTTGAGGAAAGGGAAAGTAATGGTATTCGTCCTTTTGGTCAGGATTTAGATGTTGAAGAAACTAAGACCATTGTGCATTCGTACCCGATGGGATCGCCGTACGGAAAAAATATCCTCCAAACTGAAAATACGTAACTGCAAATTCAGACCTGGAGTACTCAAAGGATAGCCTACACAATTTATACATTAAGTTGCAATACTTAGTGTGTACATAGACACATTTAACACTTCACAAAAATGTAAAAGAAAATATTTTTAATACAACATTTTTATTGTGGTAAGCCATTTGATTAATAATTATTTTAAAAATACTGACAGGTTTTATGACATTTGAATGTCGTATAAAATTATTTTCCCCTATCCCGAGGATGGGAGCCCAAAGCAACTGCTTATTTTGCTTGTAAGTAAGTCGCCTTTGCTTATTCGCAGTTCAAGTACCGCTTAACACAGAAGAAACGCAATTTTTAACCATAATATTTGTCGGCATGGTGAAGAAGCGTCTTAAGAATACATTAATAGGTAAAACTAGAAAACAAACGGAGATGGAGATACGCCTCTTTGGGAAAAAAGCTCTTCGAGTGAACGGGAACGAAGCCGCTTGGAAGAGTCAAAGCGAGTTGCCGCGAAGAAGTTTGTTTGCTGGATGATCCGCGCTTTTAAAGAACACAGGCTTATCTCTAAAACTTGTTCGGAAAAGTATGAGGACTTCCAAAGGGTTATTTTTAAACTGAATATTCTAGTTGTACCTGGAGAATAAGAATTAATTTCAATATCAATATATCAGAGACGTTAGGCCAGGGAAATATTTTTCAGACAATAAAATGATGGAATGCATTTGTTTTTCTATCAACAACTAAATAAGACTCCTTGAGAAAAAAGACGTGCATAGCGAATAATTCTCAATTAATAAAATTGAAGCAATTGCAGCTTAAAGTTGAGAACTTTCCATTACAGCAATGAATGACAAGAGCCCAATGTCCTGCTGAGCGCAATGTGTTCGCCGACTCACTGAAACGTGCGATGAGGGAGTATCGTGTAATCACGCAGGAGCTCCAGACGTACAGTGGAACTAGTGGTGCACTACGAGCGGAAATTCTGTCGCCTGAAAGAGACTAACGAAGTCGACTCCACGAGGCATTTGGCAGATGTATCTCCTTGACACGTCATTAAAATTTGCTAAATCCAATACGAAAATTTGTCGAGTACTGGATGTGCTACCCGCATCTAGACTAGTTCAGTATTTAATTACAAATTTCCCTCTCTAATGACGCGAAAACATTTTTACTGTTTGGCAAGAAATGAATAAAATAAGTCAATGTGCAGTAATCTCAAAAGGGACCGCTCTTATGGGACCGCTAGCCGGTACTGTGGAGAACTGATGTCCTGAACGTCTGATCAGCTGAAACAAAACTGCGTAAATACAGCGTTTTATAGATGTTTCCTCTCAATCATCTATCTGCCCGGCACATCGTTCCAGCATTTCCGCACCGGCAAAACGAACCCCTCCCGGACCAACATCCCTTTCACTCAACTCTCCAGGCTCTGCACCGACACAATCGTTCGCGAAATTACCCTCAAACCAACAAAAAAACACGGCGCCTACGAAGTATATTTTACAGCCGCCTCGCCCCCGCCCACTGTCTCCAACCCTAGCCCTCCTTCACCGTCTCACTCGAAATTACTCCGGGACCTGCGCGGACGCCGCACCGCACCCGAAATTACTCTCCGTTTTCTGGCGATGCCTGCGCATCCGCAAGGGCGGCGGCGGCGGCGGCGGCCAGCCTCTCGTTAGAGGCGCCCGCGCCGGCCCAACCTGAAAGCGCCGTTCCCAGCGCCCAGCGGATCGCGGCGTCCGATCGCCCGCCGCCACCGCCCGTTGCGCCGCGACTGGAGCGCGCGTGTAGCCGGCCGGAAGGAATCGTTTGAGTTTCACGATTCACTCAACAGTTGTAATGCTCTCGTTGACATTGGCGAAAGCTGACTGGTTGTTGCATAAAATAATTTGATGAAACTAGAACACGTTCTATACCACACATGTTTTTTGTTTTTATGCACGCATGCACGCATGCACGCGTGCAACGAACACTATCCACGCACTTTTCTTCAGCCCTCACTTCGCTAGATGCGAGAGGAGTGGGGACTCTGATAATTGTATCGACAGGACTATTACAAGAAACCTGTAGCTCGTTTTTCGACGCAAACTATTTTCTATTAGACGGGAGCAAACACCTCTGGTTATGAGTTTGTCAGCAAAACTTGTGGCTATCCTTTATTCTGAATTCGACTAATATTAGTAAACGAGTGGGGGTAGGTATGCCGGGGCTCAAGAAAACGTGCGCGTAACATATGGGGATCCGGTGAAAGCCGAATCGCCCGGACGACATCGCAATCAGGTCGTCGTCGGTGACTTCGACGCCGGTGATTTTCTAGCACAATGCATGTTGCACATGGTTAGTTGTTTATATATATATATATATATATATAAAAGACGAGTTTTAAGAAACGTACTGAAACGTTTTACGAAAATTTGTTAACTGTTTAAACGGTCGTATTTTTCGTAAAAAATGTTTTGGCTGGACAAATACTACGCACTAACCTTCATTGTTTCGACCTCTCGTCTTGTATTACGATTATAACACAAAGGGTCGGTGACAATTTACAAGAGTAGGTGCTTCTGACGCCATCTGCAAACGCGCTTCCTTCAACCAACCACTACCGTCATTTCGATGCTCTTTTGGTCAAAATGTTGTGTCTCGAGGAAATAAACCTAACTCACTTCCGTACGCAATTCCAATGTTGCAGGGCTTGTTGTCGTTTGAGTTTCACGATTCACTCAACAGTTGTAATAATCTCGTTGACATTGGCGAAAGCTGACTGGTTGTTGCATAAAATAATTTGATGAAACTAGAACACGTTCTATACCACACATGTTTTTTGTTTTTATTAACAAAACTTCGAATAACACAGTGTGAAAGCTACATTTTATAAATTTTGCGTTTTATGAAAGGTTCTAAAAAAACAATTTTAAATAAAATATCACAATGGGCAATAGCTACAACTCTGTCCACTCATTTGCGTTCCTCCAAGGTAAGGTACTACTCCGACGACTAACAGGCTAAAAAAGCGTGAAGTGGGTTGTGGCTTCTGAAATAGGAAACTGTAGGTTTTGCCCAATGTTTAAATGGCTGTAACATATTACACATTTCATCCCTCACGCATAGTCGTAATTCCAATTGATTTATTGTTTTTACCTCTCCTTAAATAATATAATAGAGCAAATACATTTCGAGAAATTAAAGAGTATTCAAAATTAAAAATATTCTGTTTATGCGAAAAACCGCAAGACACATCGGATAAATGCTAAATTTGCACGCTGAAATACATTTCAAGGGTGGGAGTGAAATAACCAGTTCAACGTGGTTCTTTATGGTCACTGATCCAACTGTTTATGAATTATAGTTTAAATGCATTGCATTTTAATGTTTTGAATATAAATGAAAACAGTTAATGTTAGTAGAAAGTCGTTCTGGAACAACGTTGACATTCATAGGCTTCCAAATGAAGATCACTTTCAACAAGGCTTTACGAACAAAACTAATCTGAGCAATAATGGGTTAAGTATAAGTATTCAAACCCATATTGTAATTCAAAATGAAAAGAGATACGATTTATCGTTTTAATGCAATAGTGTAGTATTGCATTACGCATGATCTTCACGTTATTTCTACAATGAAATGAAAAAAATAACAACAAACAACTCGTCTCTTGAAACATTTTGGAATTAACCAATGGGTTGGAAGTACGTCGGTAAATATTGCAATAACAACACATTCATTTCGGAGAAATCTGTCAAAAAATACAGTTCGCTTTTTATATCAATTTACACGATATCGACAACAAACTTTTACATACTAATTTTTTACAGATTTAAAATGTTGTATTTCATTTCTTGGAAAAGACAAACAGGTTTCCGGCCAGAAAACAATGTATCTTAAATATTATTTTCATTTAGAAAACAATGCTTTTTAAATTTTATTTTGATTACGAACACATGCCCTTTTACAAGGCTACTTACAGGTTTTCTCTAATTTAAAAGGTCAATGCACTTACAAACATTTATGTGTGACACTAATATTGTGCTTGGGGTTTATCAATACATTGATGAACCTTTCATCCCACAGCTGGCATGTAAAAAGAGTACGTTATATTTTCACACTTATAAACCGCTCCCGCAAAGGATATTCACAAAAAGTAGACTCTCAGAGTTCACTAGATTTCGTGGCAACTAATAATCTTGCAATATGCATGCAACTCCGAAGTTGTAGTGCCATCCAAGTTGTAGTGCTATTCCTCCAATCCAATACTATGAGCAATTACTCAAAACTAGTTTGGTGACCACATTTCAAATTTTAAATTACTCATGAAAGTTATTAAGTCAATGCATTTTACCAGTTTTGAATGGACAATCTTAATTACTCAATAATATAAGGTATGATACAACATAAAAAGCTCAATATTACACATCAGCACGATCCAATATCAAAATATTTTCATCCTACTAGAGAGAAGGAGATATCAATGAAACTTGACTTGTCAAGAAAATAAATATGTCAAAAATAACATAAGATAATACTGACCAGCAGCAATTTGTATCAACGGGTTGCATGAATAAAATTGAACAACTTTCTTCGCACAGTTCACTATTAACAATAAACGCGCCACTAACAATTTCAGTAAGATTGAAATTCGGGTACATCGAAATATATACCATAGTAATTGTTCCGTATTTTCAGAGAACAAGGAAGAACGTGCAGGTCAGAAAAAAATTCTTTGTCATTTGTGACATTTTACAATACGTTGTTCCTTTTTGGCATTGTCGAGATTAACATGGTGATAGAAAATGTTTGGTTCAGCATTCAAAATAACACCTAAGAAAATACTACATATATGTATACATGTGAGAGTACCACGCGCTCGGCGTGGCATGCTATGCTCTTATGTAACTTGTGTTTATATTGAAGTGACATGACCGGTGCGGGAAGCACGTGTTCCAGACTGAAAGGAGCTCGGAAACCCATTGAGTCTGACTTATCATTCATGACAATTGTGATTGAAAATGACATAATAATCGTCAAAAACGTATTGCATATTATATTTACAATGAATAAGACTTCGTCTGTCTGGAAATTCAAAATCCTGAGCGAGTCATCTTCGATATTCATAAAACTACTAATGAGTAAAGTGAAGCACAAGTTTGGAAGGGGCTACGTAGTATGTTAGCCTTACCTGCGACAGCGAGCAGTATCAGTTGAAGAACGGTCATTATGTCGGCTACGTGAACGACGTTGTCAGCCTCGATCGTCACGCCTCCATATTCGTACGCGCGGCACCACACCAAGCACTCGACTGGCCCTTTCTCGGGGGTTTTGACTCCTCCCGCCGGCTCCGGCGACTACGAGAGAGCATGCGATGCCAAAGCTATCTGGCGGCAACCTTACACACTGTATCAAAGACCGTTCTGAGCGGAGAGTCCCATACGATACTAGCGACATCTAGTAGCGTGTGTAGCGTGGGTTTCGGATGTTTTCCAAAGGTAATATTATGTCCGATGGACTAAATGCTCCCTTTTCACACAGGTTATTGAGAAACGATATTCACTGCTCAAATATTCTGAAAATAATTTTAAATTTGTGCAAATTCAAAAAACGAGCATCAGTTTATCAAAGTTGAGAGGTAATTTGGGAGGTAGCGTCACAAAATTTGTAATGATCTACAGACAACTCATGTTTTATTCTTCAATTTATTGGGTCCTCCCAGAGATAACATTTTTTAAAATATTAATATTGCATTTAAGATAAGAAAAGTTAACGATGATGTAACCGAAAATAAAACCCTTTTGGTGAAAAGTCGTCTTACAGATAAGACGTCATTAAATAAATTCCATACCAAAACACTTTTTTTTTTTTCTTCAAAATTTCCATTGAAGTGAATGGTTGATTTGCTACGTTTTATGACAAATTAGGAGCAATATAATTTATTAAAAGAAATACAAAATAGTATTACTTTCTCGCTATCGCTACCACGGTAGAGAGAAAGATATGTAATGCTCCGAGAAAAAATGGCGAATTTACGACAGAAAACGTTTCTTACAGGGTCCTGTTAACGAAAATGTCGATAAATCCGGTTGCTAAACTTAGTGGAAAAAATTCTCTAATATAGCTGTAGCTGTATAATATAGCTCTAATATAGGTGCAGCCAGAAACAATTTTTGTGGATCCTTAATACCGAAAAGTGACTGTCGGCAAAACGTCAACCTGTCCATCCGTTTGTGAATAACGCTTGCGGCTAAATCGTTCAGCCGATTTTCTCCAAAATTGATATTCTACGATCGATGTAGTGGACATCGGGCCCTTTGAATTTGAAACCAATATTTTAATTTTGAGGGGTACTTTACATGAACTTGACCCGTGTCCGGGAGGCAGGGACGTTGCCGGTAGGCCTGAGCACCTTCACGGGTTGTCGCGCCAAAGTACATTCTACAGACTTTACTTGAAACCCCTCTGACATTTTCAAAATTTTTCCAAAAGATCGCTAAATCGATTTTGATGAAACTTTGTTGTTAGATATTCTGAAGGACGTTTACGAAAATGGTGCAGGTCTTATTTTGGTTAAATCAGTTATTTTTCGAAAACTGAAAAAAAATCTGTGTCCTTAATTGTGAAGATATTTTTTTTTTACTGAAAACTGTTCATCAGAAACAAGTCTTCAAGTAAGGTCATGTTGAATTTTGCGAAAACATCACTATTTTTGGAGTAATATGACGTCAAACAAAGACCCCCGCTCCTAATTTCCTAGGCTTCGCGAACGTAAGTTTCGATGATTTTTGAAACAGTTGGATGTTACGTAAGTTAGAATTTGTATATAACTTCATATTTCTTTGTTCGTTTCTTGTTCGAGCTTTTATTATAAGTTTAGAAATTATTTAAAACATATTTTAAATAAGTCGTCTAATTAAATGGTAACGGCAGAAATGAAGGAATCAAAATGAATAAACAAAGGAATATATAAATAAATAAATAAATAAATAAATCATTGTGTTTATTGTACAATTGATATTAAACAATATTCAATACAGACATCACCATTTTAAATCTTTTCATGGCCTTTTGTATATTTTCTTCTAGTTTGTATTTTCTGTTTTTCATCTATTACATATTTGTATATTAAAAAATGTACACACTTTTAAAAAATAAGTTCTGCGGATAAATGCATTTAACAAAACATTATATCATCAGGTGATTCAAATTAGAGCAAAACCTTCTATCCAAATTATTTATATTATCATTTGTTTTCTAGAAATTTAAACAAATATTCATGAACATTCTTTAAAAACATTACATTAAATAACAAATCATAATAAAACATTACATTATATAACAAAAATATACATACTTTCCTTATATTGGTATATGATTACTTACAAATAATCGTGAATGACTCTTCAAATTAAATGCCCGCCTCTATTTTGCAAAACATCCTTGTATTTCGCCTAGTATTTCAAGACCAGCAAATCGAAATGGAGAAAACTCTAAACTGTAGCGATTATGTCCGCTAAAACAAAATATCTGGAAATGTGAAACACACACATGAACGCACAAAACACTCAAGCAATACTTACTAATATATACTCTCTGCACTAAAGGAACTCATGAACGTAACCAACGGCAATATGATTCACTCTTCCGCCATGTGAAAAACCCATGAAGGCTGGATGTGACGTAAAAAAACAAGCGAAAACCACTAGAAAATCATTGCTGGATATTCTCTCCACTAGCACTCCCAAGTGGCGTGGTAGTGTGTTGCCAATTTCCCTATCTTACCTACATCCCTGTGAACGACAATGGCTGCTGCCTTTTCTTTCGCGTTAATATAAACTAATAATTTCATTTATGGCTAAAATACACATCGGGCGTCGTTGGCAGGTTTTTGTAAAGCAAGAATACGCTGAATTCAATGGCAGAAAGCTATTTCCGTTTAAGCATTTGAAATTTCAAAAGAAATATATTTTTCCCATTTCTTTTTTTAATTTTTCAAATGGTTGTTGAAGTGTAAGAAAGAAATTGTCATATTCTAATATTACATATCTCATACCGATTAACAATATCCTAATGAAGTTGTAGCGCCACTGGTTTTATATAGTATTTTAGGTAGTCGTAGTATATTTAATGCCTCCGAGATTAATCTTGAATAGTTTCTAGGGTGATTATCCAAAATGGTAGGGTTGTGAAAATATAATGCGTAACAGATAAAGAAAATGTAATTTTTGGCCTTAAATAGCGTGAATTCTCTCTCTTACGTGGGTCAGACAAAACGTGCTCTGTAACAAGGAATTAAAGAACACGTTGAAAGTGGTACATAATTAAACGCAACTTCTCGACATCGCCTTGATAGTTTCATTTTTTAAATTTTGACAGCCATACCATTTTGGATAATGATCCCTGAAAAAATTCAGGATTAACCCAAGAGATATTACGAATACAATACCATTAATGCAATGTTGGAATCTAATTTATTTACAAACATTTGCGAATACACAAATTAGCAATAGTTTTAACCTGCCGCTTGTTACAGGCCACGTGATAACTTTTTTTACTTGCAAATCCACTAATTAGTAATCGTTTTGTGCTGTACCTTGTGAGGCAATGTGATTTGAATGAAGTTTCTGTCGAGAAAACGACCACGCGAGTTCGCCAGAAAAGCTCCGCAGTCGACCGTTGCGGGCACTGTTATGAATGTAACAAATAACTCTAGAATATATCTTTATTCGTTTACTTACAAATAGTGAATGACAGATTTGACATACAAAGCAAATTAATAAAAAAAACATAAGAAAAACAACACCATGACCAATAGCGTTACGGAATGAGGGCGGGTCCGCCCGCAAAACTTTTACCCGATCCCCTGCACGAATGCATAGAGCAAACACGAGTAGCGTTATTCCCTTAAATAATAACTTTAAAAAAATCCTAAAATAGGTCCTCTTTTACACGGGCCCACCCGCATTGCGGTCCCGAACGTTACACCAGCCCACGACAAACAATTTCAAAATTGATTTGAATGTAGAGAACACCTTTCTCTTCTAATTAAATGTATTTATTTTTGAATGTTTTAAATAATTAAAAGGCAATGATATGAAATGTAATAAAAAATGTAAATTTCCTTACAAAGTAAAATTGTAAAACAGAATATGATCGCTTATGACCATGCAGTTGAACAGTGAAAATAAAATTTTTTTTTTTAAAACCTTTCTCCCTTGAAAATTTAAACATATGTAAACATGTTCAGTTGTTAGAATAACACCATGTCATAAAATAATAATTAACAATAAATTTTAAATCTATGGAGAACTTCTCTTTTCGGATAAGATCTCTTTTCCACAAACTTCTGCTGGTTTATTTTAACAAAAGTCATATCACATCCTTCTTGATTTTCAACAGGTCCTGTCTTCAAAACCCCTTTTCAACTTGTAAATTATCAATACGATTCCTTGGTCGCAAACAGGTAATTTTGTTTTCTACAATCTGAGGTATTTTCTTCCCAAAAACGTTTTTAACAGGAAAATTCTTTTCCTGCACAACTATTTTCTTATTTATGACAATTTGAACTGATCTACTTGTTGATTTTCTGTTTTTTGATTTTTGTGTCAATGTTTGGATTTAAGTTTGATTCTGGGTGTAAAAATACTAATATTCTTTGCATTTCCTACCAAAAGAAAATATTTGCATTTTCTCTTTTGGTGAAACAAAATCTTAAATGTCTCAACAATATTAAACACTTCTCTATTAGTTTTAAAATTCGAACTTTGTTTTCTAGAAATTAATTGGTAGACCTAGCAATGGGGTATCATGTTAGAGATCCTGAATAAACAAGTAGAATTCTTTGTGAGGTCATAGACACTAGTTCAAAGGCTTCTCAGTTTTGTGGAATGAGGGTTTTAAGCATGATTTGCTCAAAGACTTTAGCAACATAACTTCTTGACGTTCGGAGAAGTTAATGCAACTAGTGAACTTGCAAAGTAGAAGTCATGTCATTAAATTGTTATTCTTTTTTTTTGGGGGGGAGAAGGAAAGATTTTCATTTCTCATAAGAAGCTATCAATGGGAAGTAATGACATATATGTGACTATCTGATGATTGACATGTTACAAGCAGTTTATAGGTCTGATTACACTGCAAATCATACTTTAATCAGGACATGCAATTTTGTTGATTATTAATTTAGAATTATTCAGAATATATGAAATATCCTTCATGAAGAGACTGGAAATAAAAATTTTGAAATATGAGTCAAATGAGAATGTGAAGCTTGAAAGTTATGTCTTCTGTCACTACACAAGTATTGTATACATTGTATCTGTACTTAGATAAATAATGTCTATAAAACATATATATCAATTTCACCAACTTCTCAAACTACTTTTCCAAAATTTCATAAGTACCAAGTCCTTTTGGACATTTAAAACACAGACCTGTATATGAAAAAAACAGAAATATTGAATTGAATGTCATATATAATCAATTCAATGTAAGTTAAATAATCCTCTCACAGATGATTGATTCAACTGAATTTTCTTGCATAGGCAGTAGGCTGTATCAGTCCAGTGGTCACGCAAGAACAGACAAGTTTTTACCTGTACTATTCACGGATGTGGAACTGTAACTAATATCTTATTACTTACAATTAATTATTGTACTGATATATATTTCTTTTAATATTAGATATTACGATGTATTGAACTGTAACAATACTTTCCTGTATTTCACAGCATGACTCAAAAATTTTTCTTAGAATACTAAGTCTACCTGAAGTTGCTTTGCAGCAACAATGTCCAACATTCAATGGTCACAAAAAATATACTGAAAATAATAATTTAACTGAAACAAATAATCTGAAATGCCAAATACTAAAATACACAATTCAGTGTTACCACTTCTGGATTAATATTTTTCCATCTATTCAATATTTTTGTGAAATGGGCTGTTCACGGCCATGTAGAGACAGGTTCTCATTGGGGACCATGATATTTTAAAGAAGTCAATAATGATCGAGGGATATTTTGGGGTCAAGAGCTGAGTATGTGTTGATGACTGATTGGACAGAGAGATGTGACTCAGGGCATCAACTCATGTCACTAGTTCCTGTGACTGTGAGATCCTAGATTTGGTTCCCATTGGTGGCAGATTTTTTGACATGAGCTGATATATATAGATTGGTGGGTCGAATTCAGTCCCTGATTGGAGGAAAATTCTAGCGTCCAGCTGCTCTGATTGGTGGTTTTTCCGATCAATACCAGGTGAATGCTAGTGCAGTACCCTAACAAAAGGGCCAAGGACCACAAGTGATCTTTCCTTTGTCTTCCTTGGCCTACTCTAACTCCTTACTTACACTACACTACCACACATGCCAGGAGTTTGGAGATAGCCCCAGCCCAGGCAGGGCCCTGCTGGTCGGAGATACCTGGTTGAGGAAACCCCCACTAGCTGACAGGTAGATCAATGCCAGATCTCACCAACCAGCAGGGGAAGATCATCGCCTCCTTCCAAGGATAAAAAACACGCACTACACATATGGGACTAATAACCTTAGCACCACAACAATCAACACAAATTATCAACACAAATACAGAAAATAAATATGTTGGTAGATCCATTATGAACATTATTTTTTGCCTGTCACTAAGAGAAGATTGATTCCGAGTACAGTATATTCCACTAGAATGGAGAAGCGGTACGGCAGAACTGGTTCACTCTAGACCCGTGCATAAGATGAACATTTTTTTACAAAACGTACAGTAAAATAAAATGAAAGAAAATTATAGTACCTATTGCATTGAAAATAATAATCTTAAACTCCATGGTTTAAATAAATTATATGTATTTCCACTTTTGCAACAATTGGATATGAAGAGAGCCCAAGCAACGTTGGGTATTTTGCTAGTTAGAAGATAACATTAAAGAATTGAAGGGCCTGGTGCAGTACAAGATTGAGCACACCAGGCACAAGAAATCTCTCGCCAATAATAGATGTTAATATCTTGAGTTTGGTAAGTTTGACCTTTTTTGAACTGCCTGAAGCCCTTCTTAAACATGTACAAGATATAATAAAACATGCCACACTTTGACCTAAATATAGATATTGTCATTTACAAATGGCATGATCCATGTAATTTATCATATTACTAGCCCACACCCAGTCAACTGAAATCAATACAAAAGTTGAAATTACAGATAAAATGTTTTTTACAATTGTTATAAAACAGTTTTCAAGTGTTTTTATACAAAGTATTGAAAACGAAAAATAATATTTACGTCATAACAATATTGACATGTAATACTTACTTGATCCTGAATGAGTGAATATGAATAACAACTTTTTTAATCTGCTGGTGGGTCAAGGATTTCGGTTTCAATCAGGGTTTTGGTTTAGTTTTCCCTCTTTCATTGAGCAAACATCAAGATCCTTCTTGGTTTTGTTTCTTCAAATTAAATGTAGATTCTTTCCTCCTAAACATTAGGACTACATACAGGATTTATTGTTTTTGAAGTTACATAAAATTAAAATTAATAAATGCCAAGAAAGACAACTGGGAGCGCTACTCATCATTTATTTAATATTTATTTTCAGTAGCACCCAGAAAATGAGTGAGAATTCCTAAAATTTAGGTCAGTTAAAAAAATCCAAACTCAAAACTCCTTCTCTTCAATTATGAAGTCCTTGACAAATTTCCAACAATTATACAAAAAACACTTTACTAGTCATCAAATCAGGTCTTTCTATTACTCAATGAAATATGTATTCATTAACAGAGAAATGTACGTTAATTATGGAGATTAGAATTAACATAGGTTGCTATTAAAGTAAAAAACAAATATTAAAATTCCAGAACAAATGTTTTTGTTTAATCAATGGAAATACATTACAATATATGCATATGATTATTATGTACAAAACACAACATTGTTATCATTTTTAATAAACTTAACAATACACTATTTTCATTAATCACATAATATTCATAGTTGAAAAATCTTCATAAGACATGTTCATATCTTAGTCACTAAGAAAAAATATTATTTATTGATAGGTAAAAACTTTTATTCAAAGGTTAAATTATCCTTAAAATTAAATCTTGTGTTACTAATCTTTTATTCTCATTGGAAATTTAGAACCACCTTGAATAAAATAATATTTCACAATTCGAATATTTACTTTAAATCTGTTTTTTCATTGTTACCTAAGACATTGTTATCATTTCCCTACTAATCATACCAAAGAATCCAATGCTTTCAATAAAATATCGTCTTCATCATCATCCTCCAAAGCACCGAAAAAATCTGTTATACTCTTCTGATCTGTTCTTTTACAGACTACAGTTGATGTAGCGCAAGTCTGAAACGAGTCTTTACTTAATCCAGCCTTATTTAACACTTCTAATTTTGACTGAATAAGTGGCCACAAGTGGTCATCTGCTGTACCTGGAGATACTAAATACTGCACAAGAACACAATCCTTTTGACCAATTCGATGGGCTCGATCTTCAGCTTGAGTCAAGATTCCTGGATTCCAGAATAATTCTGCAAAAATTACTAACTGTGCAGCAGTTAATGTAATGCCAGCATTAGCAGCAGTAATAGAAAGGACAGCAACAAGGCATTTTTCATTTAACTGGAACTTTTCACACATTTGCTTACGACAAAGAGAAGTAGTTGAACCATCAATGCGAATAAAATCCACATTCTTTTTGGAAATAGTTTCACATATGTTGTCTATTACAACTTTATGATGAGCAAAAATAATGAACTTCTTCCCACTCTCCAGTTGGTCATTTAAGTAATCAATAATGACTGGTAATTTACACTTGCCACTTACCGCATAATACTGCAGTAATGTACCTCTTCTTTCCATTCCCTTCAACCTCTTGTTCTGAAGAGCCCTTTCAAAGTCTTTAATATCTTCATTACTACTAATATCATCCAATTTAAGTAATATCATCTGTCGTAATTTCGATGGGAGTTGAGATATTACTTCAGACTTTAATCGCCGAATCATAACACTTTGCTGTAATACTAAATGTAGCTCTTTCATATTTGAGCAACCATTGTAGTCCCAAAATCCCATGTTGGTTTGTTTCCCAGAACAATAACGAATCCCATACTCTCGAAAATGAGGAAAGGTGGAGGGATCAATAGCATTTAGTTGTGTGAAAAGTTCACAGGGTCTGGAGAGTGCTGGTGTGCCACTCAGTAGAATCACTCGCCTACAATTTTTTAGTAAACCACACACAGCCTTAGAACGAGCTGATGAATGTGTTTTTAAAAAATGAGACTCATCCACAATAACTATACCAAATGCAATCCTATTTAGTACTTGAAAATGACGTGACACAAGATTATATGATGTTATGATGATTTTAGCACTGGCATCAAAATCTCTTCCTGATGTCATCACATTTATAGTGTGGGGCTGAACACTTGGAAGCCAATCATGTATGGCTTCCAACCAATGAAATCTCACAGAAGTTGGACACACCACAATAAGAGGCCAATCATTTCGGTAATAATGAGCAATTCCTAAAGCTTGAATTGTCTTTCCTAAACCCATATCATCAGCAATTAGGCATCTTCCTTTTCTTGCAATTCCAAATAAAATACCTTCTTTTTGAAATGGCATCAAACGATTTAACAAATGTGGGTCTATTGCACTGATGTCAATATCCTGTTTACGAAAGTCCACGGGAGGTTTCAAAAACAGATCAAGTATTTTACGTGGTATTCCACTAATAACCACTTCACCTTTCAACACCCGCAGTTCTTTCAGAAGTTCGTCATGATCTCTTACATTAAATTTCCAATTTTTACTTGTACTATCATAATTTGCACTTTTTATTTTTTTAAAAATGTCAATCATTATTTTATGATAATTCACTTCAACTACAAAGTGTTCTTTAGATATCATTTGGCAATGACCAGACACAATATTTTTGGAAGGTGTAAAGGCAGCAGACTGTTTGAATGTGATCGGTGTTTCCTTATTAACCAAGTGCTTCACCTTCTTAATAGGGGGACTGGTTACAATTGTTTCTTTAGGGATATCAATTATTTGTTCCTTTAAAGAACCGGAAGATGGTGAACTGGATGATGGTGAACTGGGTGATGGTGAACTGGGTGATGGTGACTGTACTTTAAATGCACTTAAAGGCACATGCTGATCTTTTATTCTCGCAGCTTGAATTTGTAAAGCCTTCTGGCGATTCGCTTCAATTTTTGCTCTCAATGCTCTTCTTTCTAATGCCTTCTTTCGATTTTCTTCTATTCGAGCCAACTGTTCACCCGTTAGAGATGACATGATGGCAAAGGAATGGCAAACAACGTTACATTAAATTGTCATGTATTATGTAAACAGAATTAACATTTCATCGTTGCCACTCATATTTTCACAAGATTCGAGGAACATTGACATAGCTAATTCATTTTACAGTTAACCTTTCATACTCTCACGTTAAACACATTAGGAACTGACACCAAGCACAATATCACACACTAAAAACACGTATTTTTACATCACATCAGTCCGGACCTCGTCCGAACAGTCCGGATTGAATAGAGACAATGTGTTCCCTCCAGCACCAGTATTAAAAGTATAATCTTAATAGTAAAGTAACCATAAGTACCGGACCGGTACTTATCCCGACAAACAGACGCGCGCGAACAGTAAACGCACGACACACGTGGCGGTCTGTGGTCAGGGAATATACACAAATTTAAAAAATAAAGGAGCACGCAATAGCGTATTAGTTAGTACAAAGATATAGTATGTTAAGAAGACGCTGAATGTTCCGCGAGAGCCACCATACTATATATTAACACCATACACTGATCATGCCAATATTCTCTGAGCGGCATTGGTCCACTCCCAAATCCCAATTTCCCAAATTGAAGAGGTCCCTGGAAGCTATTTAAATGGCAAAAGCGATCACCTGGTGTGTTTCTGATCAATCAGATGTTCACGGTTTCATCCAATTGGGAGCTTGAACGTCCCCCATAGTAGCTCCCGATTGTATAAAACTGCAACAGTTGGTTTATTATTCGCGCACATTTTCTTGAGCCCTAGCTTCGCTAGTTAGATAGATAGATAGATTTATTATTTCTGCAGGTAGGTATAGAACCTGGTGGCAGAACAATACATTTTACATATTACAACTAAGAATAGTAATACACTGTACTTTTAAAGCATTTTAAGGCAATAATAACAAT